GGCCCGGGGTCACACAGGGAGCGGTGCATCCCGCGTTCTCTTGGGCCCCCTTGGCCTCGCAGTCCGAGGTCTGTTCCCAGTGCTGCCAGCCCACCCCGGGGACGGGGGCTCCCGCACGCACCGGGCAGGAGTCAGAGCCCCTGGCCGCACCCTGGGGCCACCGTGCTCGGCGCCTCGGAGCGAAGCGCTGTGAGCTGGCAGCGCCGTGAGCTCCGTGGGAAACGGGGCGGGTGGAAGAACACAAAACCGGACTTGGGCCAGAAGTGTCGGCGTGGCCATCACCTCCTCAAGGGAGCTGGCCTCAGTTTACCCAAGTGTGAAACCACTCACTACGATCGGTTAAGTGGTTCTTAAACTTTACGGGGCGAGGGCAGGGGAAATGATGGGTGCTTTGAGAATTCGCGGAGAGACTAAACAAACAAACAAACAAACAAAAAAACTAGAAATAAACTCAAAGCACAGCTTTCAAGGGCGGTGGGGGTTCCAGGGTTGCAAACAGCGCGCGGAGCCCCTCCCCGCACGGTCCCTCTGCACATGCGGGAGTCACCCGGCGGTTGGGGTTGGTCACGGCGGCGGGAAGGGCTCCTGGGCGCTGACCCTGCCCGCGCCCCTGCGGCTACAGAGGTGCAGAAGCTGTCCAGCCTGGTGCTGCCGGCGGAGGTGATCATCGCGCAGAGCTCCATCCCTGGTGAGGGCCTCGGCATCTTCTCCAAGACGTGGATCAAGGCTGGCACCGAGATGGGCCCCTTCACCGGCCGTGTCATCGCCCCGGAGCACATAGACATCTGCAAGAACAACAACCTCATGTGGGAGGTAGGCTTGGGGTGGGGTTGGTGGGTGTGGGGGGCACCTCCAAAGGCCCCGCAGCTGCTTCTGCCCTTGTGGGGAGGGGCGGCCATTCCGGCCCTGCCACTCCTCAAGGCAGGACCCTATGCTGCTGGATCCCCACAACCCGCCCCAGTACGCTTCCCCTCTTCCCCCCAAATCTGATCCTCTTTCCTCTGGTCAAACCTATGGAGTATGCCTGCTGTTGGCTCACTTCACAGAAGAGGTGCCACTGAGAGCCGGAGGCCGTGTGGCTTGCGCAGGGCCCATGGCGGTCTGGGAGCCTTCTCCTCGCCACCTGCATTCCCCCTTGCCCCTGCTAACCTCACCTCCTCCCGCGCCTGGAGGCCCAAGCCCCTTGTTGCTGGGTTAGGAAGTTGGGGTCCAGGTTGAGCTTTGAGTATCCCTGGCCACTCTCCCAAAGGGGCTTAGGCCGGGCCAGGTGCCACAGGGAGCCAGCCTTACCTCTCTGGGCTCCTGTGTGTCCTCTGTGGTGTGGCCAGCCCCCTCGGGCTTTGGGGAAACCTCTCCATTCCCGGAGAGCTCGCTGTGTGCTTCTTTGTCTCATCGGTGAGCCCTTGGAGACCCTTCTCTACTGGGGATGGGGCAGCAGGAAGGAGCCTGTGGGGCCTTAGACTCCCTGTTGGCCACTCCTAGCCAGCGGGCCTCAGGCAAGTCACTGTGCCAGGCTGAGCCTCTCTTTTCTCAGCGGGAAAACTGAGACGGTAAGAGCTGTGCCCACTTCCTGGGCTGCTGTGAGGATGGAGAGAGAGTGCCTGGCATGGAGCCAGGGCCTGGACACAGGTGGCACACCTGACAGAGCCCTGCCTCACCTGGTCCCTGATTCCCCTGTGCCCAGGTGTTCAATGAGGATGGCACAGTGCGCTACTTTATCGATGCCAGCCAGGAGGACCACCGCAGCTGGATGACCTACATCAAATGTGCACGTAACGAGCAGGAGCAGAACCTGGAGGTCGTCCAGATTGGCACCAGCATCTTCTACAAGGCCATTGAGGTGCGTGTGTGTGTGTGTGTGTGTGTGTGTGTGTACGTGTGTGCTGCTGTGGAGGGAGCAGCGGGAGCAGCTGGGTGCGAGGTGCAGGGCAGCTGTGTTTGAGGTCTGCTCTGGAGGGAGGGGCCCTGACCGCAGCCCTGCCCAGCAGGCCCTGCCCAGGCTGTGGGGCTGAGGCCCATGCATCACGGTCTTCAGGAGCACGACCTCCAGGCACCTTGCTGCCGCAGATCAGATCGGAAAGGACGGGACTTTTGATGCCATTGTGAATGTCATGAGCATCTCAACAGGGAGGCCCCTGGGCAGCTGCTGAGGGTGTCCTGGGGTTCGGAAGCCATAGCAATACGGAGAGCCGGACAGAGGAAGGCAGCCCGGGAAAGGCGTCCGGGTGGGAGAGGGGGTTGTGTCTGCAGCGGTTTAGCCGTGTGTTGTCCCTCCTCCTGCATGCGTGGGACACTGATGACATGTGGGTCACGATTGAGTATCAGCGGTCACATACCGGTCGCCCCGGGTGTCAGGCTTCTCCTAGCCGGTGTACCGCATTATCCCATTTAATCCTCACGTATTTAATCCACAAGGGAGGTTCTGCCACTGCTACAGTTTACAGACATGGGACTGGATCTCAGTCGGTGGCAGGCAGGCTCAGGAGCTCTTCCAGGGCATCAGGGTGATGTTAGCACTAATGCCTGTGGGCGGGCAAAGCTTCTCAGGAGAGAAAGGGGGCGATAGCAGACAGGTAAATATCACTTCCCACGGTTCTGTGGGGGACGGGGAGCTAAGCCAGGCCCAGGGCATGAGAAGGTTCAAGATGATGGGAGAGAGCCTGGGGCAGAGGCAGACAAGCTCGCAGTGTTTGGGCAGGAGCTGATGGCCAGCTGAGTGGTGGTAGCCAAGGAGGACCACCCTGTCGGGACCTTCCTGGGCAGTGTCCCCTGGTAGGAAATTCACTCAGCATCTGGCCCAGGACGGGGCATGCTTCCTGGCCTCCCGGCGGCAGGCGGCAGGTTGTCGGGAAGCACTGTTCAGGGTGATGGGGTTGTCTGCCCCCCACTTTTCCGGACCCCCTGCTTCTGCTTGCAGGTGGGGAGAGGCACGGTGCCCCTTGGGTGGGGCTGGGCTGGGCTGAGTTTTAGGGTGGTCTGCAGGAGCCTCGTCAGAGCCTGGGAGTGACTCCTTGTTAGCCTAGCTCCCTTTTCTCCCTGGGACGCAGATCCCCAAGTCTGCCCGAGGCCCAAGGGGCATTGGGGCCTAGAAGCTTCTGGAATTGAGGTCTGATTGTCCCTGAGTAACTAGGCCTCAGGAATCTCCTAGGGATGACCCCAGAATGGTATTTGCCTGGTGTGGCCGGGAGTGGGCCCCAGCTGAGGTGTGTGGGGGGAACCCTGGGAGATAAGGAAGGTGAGCATTCCTAGACTGGGGTTCAGGTGAGGTGGGACAGTGTGAGGTAGTGTGACAGAGGACAGAGGTGGCCAGGCCCAGGACAGAGGTGGTTCTTGTGACCATCCAGCTGGGCTAACACCTGAGAGCAGACATCCTGGAATAGGCCTCAGGGGTGGCCGAACCCCACTTCTGATAGAGAGCACCCTTCCAGATCCTCACCCCTCTCAGCCTCACACACACCCCCTCACATGTGTACATGGCTACCCAGCCATCCCCATTCAGATGAGCCTGGGGACCCACACCCACCCCATCCCTCCCACGCAGACACGCACACGCACATGCACATGCACAGAGGAGACCGACAGGGATGCCTGGTGGTTTTGGCAGAAGGGCTGTGGCTCGGGCAGACGGCGGGGGACGGGGGCAATGGGGCTAGGTTTCCTCTCACTGTGCACCGTCTCTCCTCCTGCGGCTGGAAGCTGAACAGAGCCAGGACACGCATGTTAATAGACATTTATACAGATGTTCAGGGTGAGGGCCGGCAGCCGAAAAACTCTCCAAGGAGGGACCCAGTTTATGAGAGTTTGAAAACGTCATCCACATTTGATCAGGAGTTTAAGTTGATAAAAGAAGATCAGGAAAAGTCCGTTCATTTATGATATTGGTAGCTAGAGAGCCCCGTGTGGCCAGGAATGCTCTAACTTCGTCGAGTAGCACGTATACGAAGACGGGCCTTTTGAGGGAGGGGCAAGGAAACACAAAGCATCACCCATTTTATTTTTATTAGGTTTGGCTTTTTACTTGGTTTTTTAGAGAAAGAGAGAGATTAATTTGTTGTTCCACTTACTTATGAATTCATTGGCTGATTCTTGTATGTGCCCTGACTGGGGATCGAACCTGAAACCTTGGCGTATCAGGACGACGCTCCAACCAACTGAGCAACGCACCCAGGGCCAACTCACTTTATTTTTACTAAGTGAAGTTGGGCACATTTTCCCGTGGTGACAGTTTTCTCAAATTGTGTTGTAATGTCAGATTCCACCTACCGGGCCAAGTGCGTGTGTAGGCGTGTGTGACCATCGTGCAGCAGGTCCAAGGCTGCAGCTCACGCGGCCCCCCTAGGCTCCACCGGAAGCAACGGTGCACCCAGACCTCTCCCCAGATGCCCCCGAGAGAGGCGGCTCTTTGTTCTGGGCCCATGTGCGGTGAGCCCAGGAGACAGGCCTCTGAGTGATCGGTTTTCTGAATCTTTCTGTCACTCAGAACTATTTATATTTCATAGCAGTAACCCATTACTTGCCAAAAATAAAAAATAAAGAAAAAGGAAGATCTTTATTCAGTAAGTGGGATATACTGCTGCTCCACAATGTTCAGCCCTCCACACGGAGAGGAGGGCGGGAGTGTCAAGGCCGCCAGTCAGTGGAGCGTGCCCAGGCCTGTTTTGCATCTGGCTTATCTACTGGCATGTTATCTCCTTGCTCATTGCAACCAGGAGGAATTTACTATAACCTCAGGTGCCTGAAATGACTCTTCTAGAAAGTTCCCAGCCCATAGCAAGTGGGAGCTCAATGTTGACTGAGTGCTTCTTTCTGTAGGTGAGGGGGGCTCAGTTGAAAGGGGGATACATGGACCCAGTTCTCCCAGGAAAACACACCCATCCCCTCCATCCCCCCACCCCACCCCCAAGCAAGATCTTTGACTCCAAAACTCAGCACAAGAAAAGGATGTAGGAATAAGAGATAGTGGGGGTTTTTGGATTTGGGTACAAGGGAGAAAAATTCCCAGTCTTTCCCCTCCCTGGTTTTTGACACATTACTGGCCCAGAAATGTGGGCTTGTCTTTTTGCTACTTTCCTTCTCATTTCAGGGAGTTGAGCTTTTCTCCCCCCCAGAACCCATACCCCATCTCTCCTTTCTTTGGCCCCATGGGGATAAGCTCGGTTTTCCTTCGACCTTGTTCGTCGGTGGGTGCAGGTAAGGGGCCCAGCTTATTAATGAGCAGCATTAAGGACCCGGCCATCCGTGAGCCCTTACCCCATGCCGGCGGCGCCTTGCTAGGGCTTAGCAACCTTTTAGAAATAGAATCCTCTCCACCCTGTGAGGCGCTCTCCATCACTCTCCCCATTTTAATGACGAGGAAACTAGGGTTCAGGGAGACTGAGGGAGGTTGCTGGGCTGTGATTTGTGTCCAGGCCTGTCCGACCCCAGAGCGAGCCTTTGGCCACCACGGGGCCTCCCTGGCCAATATCTGTTTGCTGGAACTCTATTAATTGGTGTGTCAGGACATCTGTGGTACGATGGAAATTGATATCCGCCCAGATGTCACCGAGATCCTTCTAGACGAGGCTGCTGCCCCGCCTGGGGAAGGGAGGGCCGTGGAGCCCCTGGGAGCATGTTCATGGTGTGGCGTGGATTTGTATTAGGAAAACAAACCCCAAACCCCATCACTTCCATTTATAAAAATTCAGAAATGGAAATGGGGCAGGACAAAACTTGCGAGCTGATCGGGAAGGTTAAGAAGCATGCGCTGAGAGATGGTGTGATTTGTCCATGGAAGACTCGGGCACTGATATTCCGCCCTCCCCTCCAGTCTGGGTGACGGGTGTGGGACTCAGTTGCTCTGGAAACTGTGTGGTTGATCGCATGTTCCGAGCCAGTCCCTGCGCCCAGGAAAGTGAAGGAGCAGCTGATTCTGGTTCTCTGAGCCCCAGGGAGAGCCTGGCTGGGCCAGGCTGCAGGGTTGGCCTTAAAGAAGCAGCGCTAGTGAGGGGACGAGGGGGCCTGCAGGGGCCTGTGGCTGGTCTTTGCTCTTAGGTGGCAGCTGGTGGGAGCTCGGGGGCCTCCAGACAATGGGACCAGGATCTCAGGAAGAGGCTGCGGGGAGCAGGCAGAGACCAGAGGTCCAGACCCAGGGCTCAGAAGGCTTGGCCTTGGCGTCGGTGCAGGCCAGGCTGCCTTCCCCGGTGGGGCTCAGAGGGCTGCTGGCTTCTTGCTGGCGGGGATGTGCGTCATTCTCAATTCCAGTAGGTTCTTCCTAATGGATTTTCTTTCTTTAAAAAAATATTTTTTGTATAAAAATAGTACGAGAGCGGCTCATTTTTTAAAAAATCAGATGCGTCATGTAGAAAATGGAAGTCACTCTGCCCATCACGCTGCTCCCCAGGAACCTAAATCAGCATTCATTAATTGTCTCAAAATGACAGGCCCTTCACTACGCAGAAACCCGGTGTAGTGCCTGGCACCCAGCGTGGGAGAGAGACCGACTGCTCATTCTCTACCCTTTTACGTGTCTACACATTTTTGTCCGTGGGTCCGCATCACTCTTTTTTTTTTAATCCAACAAAAGTAAAATTGCAATAAACTATAAAGCAATTAGAACAAAACTATTTGTTTGCATGGATGTGCGCATCACTATTTTAATCTTATAATTAATTTTAGTAAAATGATCGTTAGTACATTTTAAAGATTGATGTTAGAGAAAGAGAGAAACATCAATCCTGTATGGTTCACGGGACCATGCTGCAACCAACTGAGCCACAGCGGCCAGGGCCAATTTCTGTACATTTAAAAAATGTTAGTAAATAAACGACTCAGCGTTGTATTGAAACAGTTAGTATTGAAGCGCTGGAATAATACTTCTCAAATTTTATGCCATCTCAGAGTTCTTGGCTCCTCATCACCCTTTTTGTTGTTGTTATGCTTAATTACTAATTCTTATCGTCAATGAAAAGGAAAAGGCCAGTGCTGACTTAGTCTGGAGGTGGAGCTGCAGCTCAGGGCTCCGGGCGACATCACAGGGGAGGGAGGGATGGGGGGGGGGCTTGCTGAACTGCTCACCCCTTGTTTGTGGGAAGTGGTGGGGGCCCAGCTGATGCTCTTGTCAGACAGTGAAGGCAAAACCACGGTCGTGCTGGGTTTTAACGGTGCCAGGTGCCAGCGGCTCGCACCACACCGCCAGCTCTGCGGTGGCTGCGACTGGGGGACTCCCCCTGCCGCCTGAGATCACTGCCAGCTTCTCTGAGAAGTTGGCAAGCTCAAGAGGGGGTGCGGGGCGGGGGGAATCATAGCAAGCTCTGCTGTGTATGGATCGCGTAAAGAGTGTTGTGTGCCTGGCTCCTCTGCACCCCGACAAGCACCCAGTGAGGTGGGGGCAGTGCTGCTGCCCCGCGTTATGATGGAGGAAACCGAGGCCCAGAGAGTGGCCCAAGGTCATGTGGTCAGCAGGTGGGGAGCATGAGTGGACCCCAACCTGACTGAGCTGGAAGCCTGTGCCGTGCGTCTCCTGAAGGAAGAGGCAGATTCAGACCATCTGATGGGGGCCGGTTGCTTTAGAAACTCCACGATGGATACATGTCAGTACAGCTGAGAATCGCAGCCAGGGGTTGGGGCAATATTGCAGGTGACTTCCAGCCAGAGTCCTAAAGTTGGGGGACCTCAGACACCCCAGTTCCCTCATTTGAGGCAAAGTGACTTATGTAAGGTCACCCAGGGCCCTCATGACGGAGGTCCCATGTGCGCTGTCTCGTGGAGAGTGGCTGCTTTCACAGTGAGTTCATTTGAAATATTTTACTTCCATCCTCCTGTTTTCTAAAGGGCTCACCAAACCCCTCTCTTCGCCGCCCCTTTTCCAGCAGGGCCTCTGGGTCTGACCTGCTGGCCCCCTGCACAGTGGCCACGACTGTGAATGACCAGAGGCCTCCAGAACTTTCGCGGTGGTTCCTGCTTTCATTGAGGCACCGCCCACTTTTCTGTGGGTTCAGACCGCACTCCATTCCTCCATATTCAGATATTCAGCCCTGTCCCTCTGAGCTGGCGCCACCCTCTGCCTGTTCTCAGCACTCGCTTTCCCTGAGGCCTGAGGCCACGTGCTCTGGGCCCTGTGGCTGGGTGAGAGGGGCACGGTGACCCCTGGCTACGGTGACCCCTGGCTGCGTCTCAGGAGGATTCAATCACTGGGCCCCCTCGCACTGCACGTTCCTTCTCCCACCTGCCGCTCCCTGGTCCCGCTGCTCCCGGGGAAGGAACAGAGCTGGCTGTGATGCCTGAGAGTCCTCCCGGCTCTGACCAGAGGAAGAAGGTGTGCGAGACAGCAGGTTTGCAGTATGGAGGGGGCCGGCGGGCCAGAACCACAGGGAAGGGGTGGGCCTTCGCTGTGACCACAGAAGCCACGGGAGGGCCCTGCACGGCTGATACCAGACACCCCTAAATGGGATCCCATGGGATCTTTTGCGTCACTAAAAGGCCAGGACCCTGGCTGGTGTGGCTCAGTTGGTTGAGTGTCGTCCCACATGCACCAAAAGGTCACCGGTTCGATTCCGGATCAGAGCACATGCCCAGGGTGCAGGCTTGATCCCTGGCTGAGTGCATGAGGGAGGCAACCAGTATCTGTTTCTCTTTCTCCTTTCCTTTTGCTATAAAAAAAACCCAGTAAAAACATTTTTTTTAAAAAAGAGGACCCACCAAGAAAACAAACCAGCTGTGGCCTGGGGTGTCCATTTTCTCTGGACAGATCAGAGTGCCCCCGGGGTGGATGCCAAAGCCAGCTCTTCTGGGGTGCAGGCCTCAGGAGGGTGATGAGCCGCACCTCTCTCATTTGGGCCTGACGGCTCCCCGCTCGGCAGGGGTACTGGTGGCCCCTTGAGATGACCCAGAGTGTGTGCGTATGGTCAGCTCCACGCAGAAGCAGGAGTCCCACAGCTCCCTGGATGATCACCGCAAGTCCTCCCTCCTGACGGCCACGCCCAGGGGCAGGTCCTCCCCAGGGAGCAGCAAACCCTGCACTGTCTCTGGCGTTCTGTGCCAGAGCCCAGGACACGGCACCGTGGATTGTGTAAGGCTCAGGGGCCCAGTATTTCCTCAGGTGGAAAGAACCTGGGAGGTCCTTTCGTGCATGGAGCCATACCGAGCCCTGTGACGGGGGAGGATGACCTGTGGTGTGGTGCTGCCTGGGTGCTTTGGATGAGAGCTGTTTCCAGATGAGAGCATTATCGGGCAGGGGGTAGCCAAGTGCCAGGGGGCGCACCTTGGGACCATCCAGCTCCGCCCTGCAGACCTGAGGGCTGGCTGACTGCTCCCCCACCCACCACGGAAGAAATGGAAAGTCTTCTCACTTTGGGTCGCTGTCACTTCTGCTGGCTGTGAGGCTGTTGCCATCCGCTTGGGAGCGCTTGGGAGTCTGGGAGGTAGTGCTGTTCCCAGCAGATGGCGGGGAAGCCTGGGCAGGAAGAGGGGAGCAGAGCACCCCAGGGTCTCTGTGATCCTGCAGCTTGTTGGGGATGGCCTGTGGAACAGGCCCCACTGGAGACACATCTCCATGGCAAGTGCCAGGACAGATGCCTCCTGGCTGTGAGGCGGTGTGCAGAGTTCTGCCTCTCTCTCTTCCTCTCTCTCTCTCTCTCTCTCTCTCTCTCTCACACACACACACACACACACACACACACACAGGCCACTGCCTCCCTGACCTCCTCTGTCCTCCTTCTCTGCAGATGATCCCTCCTGACCAGGAGCTGCTGGTGTGGTACGGGAACTCGCACAACACCTTCCTAGGGATCCCCGGAGTGCCCGGGCTGGAGGAGGAGCAGAAAAAGAACAAGCACGGTAGGTATTCTCCATGAGCCCAGCGTGTGTGTGTGTGTGCGTGTGTGTGTGTGCGTGTGCGTGCGTGTGTGTGTGTGTGTGTGTGTGTGTGTGTGTGTGTGATGGGGAGGCACCTGGCTCAACCTCCAGCACCACTGAGCACAGGGGACCTACTGGTTCAAGGAGGCCGCTGCCTCTGGAGCCTCCACCTTGGCCCAGGCAGGAGTGAGAGGCAGTCCTCCTGTTTTCCGGCCAGAACAGAGTAGGGGCAGGTGATGGGGGGGGGAGGGTCCCCCAGAGGCAGCCTGGTTTGGCAGGATGAGCCAGGGGCCAGGCCGAGGGAGCCTGGATGAGGTTCCAGGTCTGCTGTGCAATCTTGGGAATGGCCCTGTGACTCGGTTTCCTCATCTTTAAAGGAAGGAGGTTGGGTAAGATGATCTCTAAGCCCCCTCCGGCCCTGAGGCTCTGTGCCTTTCCCTGCTCTGCCGCTGGTGCCCAGAGTAAACCTGTGGAATGGAGGTGGGCGTTGCCTCCGTGTGTTGGAGGGTCGCTGATCTAGTTTGTGCCAAGTATTGGGCTAAACCTTTATCCCGCTTGGGTCCTCAGAAAATCCTTGTGAAATCTGATTACCCTTATTTCCGGAGGATGAATCTGAGGCTGATGAACTATGCTCACGGAGCCCTTACTCTGCACTGTTTACAAACGGAACTTTCTCTAGTCCTTACAGCAGGCTCATGGCGGTGATGCTATCATTACCGTTTGAGGTGAGGAAAGTGAGCGCAGTTCCCTGGCACCTAGTGGGCATCAGTAATGTTTGTGGGGATAATAAATGAAAGGAGTTTTTCTTGGGGGTGGGGGAGGGGTTATAATAGTTACTTCCGCTTACGGAAGGCTACCATGAGCGGGCACTTTCCATGCGCGGCTCCGGCAGGTAAGTGCTCAGCAGCGTAGCCTTCACTAGCCTTCAGCTTTTGGTGATCGTCCCCTCTAGTCCTGCAGAGCCCCCCTGAGGTGTAGTGGGCTCCCATTTTACAGATGAGAAAGTTGAGGTTTGGTGAGGCCAAGTCACTAAGTCTCCGAGTCTCACAGCGTGGCGTGGAGTCCAGCTCCTGCGTGACCCTAAGCCAGGGCCCTTGCTACCCCTCCCATCCCCCTGCCAGCGCTCCCCAGCAGTTGCCCGAGAACGGTCGGGGGGATTAGAGGTGGGCAGATCCTGGGGAGGACCACGTGCGTGGGGAGCGTGGGTGTTGGGCTTTGGCCGCGCGGTTCTAACGAGGCTGCTCTCTCTGCCC